TTCTTTGTTTTCTGACATTTTCCGGCAACCGCATTATAACCAATCTCGGTAGACTGCACAATAATAGGTATGCATAAACATGGACAGAATTCTATGACAGGGTAAACGGGAGTCGGAAAAAACCGTATTATAGACGGTGCTTCATTGCGAGTGTTTACGTTATGTATTAGCCTGTTGGTGCAAGTGCCGCAAAAGGGCAATGGTGACTATGATGTCGTCATTTAACTGTGCCAGCTGGAAGATCAGCCACAATGGTGATGTCCCGAAAGTTTAGGGTCACTTTCAGGTTACCTTAGATGATGTCAATGCCCGAAATGCGGCGTGTAATTCTGAATTGCACATGTGAACTTCAAAATTCACGTAAAGTACTTTCCAAGCAACCTATTCAAAACTTTCACTGCATAGAGAGGGCGCTAGTGTAAGCCCAACATAGCTGTCGTTTGGCGGATCGTGTAGTCGGCGACTTCCGCCTGTGTTCCCGTCACTTCGAACTGCGCAGTATTTGCGACTGCAGCCACCGTATTGACAAGGCTTTGCTTAGAAGGTCATTGACTCCTGCATGTATTATATCCCACACTGCCGGTTTAGAAAAGCGTGTGCGGTGTATTTTTGAAGGAAAAGAAGTTTTGAACGCCGGGCACATCGTTTGCTGAGACGTGAACGAATGCACGTAGAGCTTTGTGAACACTATCCAAGTATTTTTCCAGCTGACTTGCCGACTGTGAAAATAGACGCACGAGCAGTGGTTCAAATTCAAGAGCAATGAAACGACGAAGGTAAGTTCACGTACAGCACTGACTTATATACTTTCATAAAGGAGGGGGTTGGTATCTTTATTTAATGGGGTATTCTCGCCAACTTTGCAAGTGTAACCAGCACCTATTTAAGTGTAGTTACTTTTTTGTTTACCCGCAGGTACAGAAACACCTGTTTCTCACTAGGCCCGAACACTCCGCACGAATGAAGCTCTTGCTGCTGATACATGCGGCACGCAGTATACATATGCACACAGTCGTTCACTCTCAGCTAGGTCATGCGAGTGGATGGCTGAGCTCTTCAGAGGCTTAGTGCGTCCGAGGCATCTCTCATGGAAGCAAGAGTGGCACAGGTATAGAGCAACCCGACACTCCTGCTTCTTGTCCTATGTATTCTATGTATTTTAGCTTCGATGCACAGCTACGAAAAAAGCAGTGGTGCTCTAAAGAGCACAACCATTCACTCGCATGATCTAGCTAACAATGAGTCGTGACGCCGGTGTTCAAACAATATTATCCCTTTGCATGGCAGAAACGCTACTTTAATGTGCTTATAAACAAAAGGCACTTAGTTTTATTTCGGTGTTGAAGCGTTATCAATGAAATAGTAAAACACATGACAAAATTTCAAGCATGCTTGGAAGCTGATTACATCACCATAGATATAGTCTCATGGGTAAAAGACAACAAAAAAAAAATCAGCAGATAGGCTGCTCAACCACCCCACTTAATGGTTGGCTTGTGTGCACAGCAATAAAATCCAGTTATTAAGCAAATGAAAATGTGTGATCAGAGCAAAATAAATTTGAAACCCAACAGTCTATAAAAAAAAAACATGAAAAACATACTTCATGAGAAGTGCTTCTTCACTCCTCCCGTGTGCACAGGTAGGTGCAGACGAGGGGGGGGCACCACCCTCGTAACCCAAGAATGTCTCACGCATACAATAACATAATAAAGGGGTGGAGCCTTTCAACGAGCCTTTGCCACCTCCTGAAGGAGAACCCTACGTGCACTTATGCGTCTACTGAAATGCCGCAAGTACAAATATATTTTTTGCTTTCTCCCTCTCTTGCAGAGTTACTGCTAGTGCAAAGCACGAAACCTTGCCTTTGACTGCATGGCGTGTGCACAGCGGACCCCACACATTTTGTGATTCTTGTACCTGTAGCTCACAGTGAGCAAACAATAAAGAGTAATTTAAATCATTGCTACTACGACTCACAGTACCTGCCCGACTTCGGCTGTCCACTAGAGAATTTAAAATAACCACAGTAAAAATTGCCAGCGACCACAACAGTGAGGCTGATTGAACGATAGTATGGGCTGGCTGTACGGGCACCCCCCAAACGATAGTTATGACGGCTGCTGTATGGCGGCGCCACCATCTGTGAAAGTTGCAAATATTCCCTGTAGAGATATTGTAGATGATACATGCATATTGATGGTTCACGAAAATTGATCCCGCAGACTATCTCGCTTGCAATATTTTGCTTCCGTATTCCTATAAATGAAACTGATTTGAGGCTTTAGTGTCAGTGTGATAATATGCGGTGCGCGAACCAGAAACTGAAACCGAAAGTGCCTTGCGGTGGCACAGTGGATTTTTGAGAGCGCATATGTCACTGTGGCATGGACGAAGAAGACACCAATAGCTCGTGAAGTGCGGCCTTACGAGCTAGAGACCCGTGCATTCGGCAATGCTCGACGGCCTGTTCGAGGTCAACCAGCGTTCGTGGTCTAGTAGGAGTTTGGTTGGGTGACTGCCCCAGGGACCAGGCGTCGTGTAGTTCTTCCGGCTGCTGTTTCTGGGGCTGGGCAATCAACGAGCATGCCAACCAACGTTCCAGCTGGGCGACTGGCCCAGGGAGCAGGCGAGGTCTCCTGTTCGCGCCGCCGTCCATAGCGGTGGACTGAGTCCTTGTTGTGGGCCACGAGCGAGGCCAATCAACGTTCTGGCTGGGCGATGGGCCCAGGAAGCAGGTGAGCAGCTGGCACGACGTCAGGGTGCTGGCGGTACGAGACGAGGTGGCTGAGTGCCGCGGCAGAGGGTCTGATTAAGGAGAGGATCGACCCACATTGAACACAGCAGGCGAGCCAAGCGGCGCACCATCTCCAGGTGACCAGCACCAACGTTGAACACGGCAAGCGAGCCATGCGGCGCGCCATCTCCAAGCGACCGGCACCCACGTCACTCACATAACGAATGAACTTTTGGCTTTAAGGCAATTATCCCTTGTATAGCTAGTGTGCTCCTCCGTTAAGTACATGTCTGTCCATGTGTATGAAACGTTAATATAAGTGTGAACGTATCTTTGTGCACTGGTGTGCTGTCAAGTCCTTTCTAGAGCAGTCCTGCCCCTGATAGCATCACAGTCTGACAAGAGTTGCCAATAGCTCCTTGACTCTTGCAAAGAAAAAAAGTTGAAGTGTAACATATCCTGCACCGAAAACAAGAATTTCGTTTGCTTTTAATCATAAAAATACATGTTTTATGGGCATAAAAGATAGAATTCTAAGATAGAACTGCCACATTTAACATACCAGCATGCACATGTGTCACTAAAGGATTCTGGACATGAATGCTCTGTTTGGATTTGTAGGAGGTATATTCGGATATGGACCTCTGGAGCTTGCTTTGTTAGTTTCAGAAATTAGATGTCACATTCTATGAGCTGCCAGTGTCACAATGGTAATGGCACTGCCACGTTCATTAGGCTATGTTCAAGACATAGGAAAATCATTTCTCCACTTAGTTTACTCACCCATAGTGAAAAATGCACCCTCATTGAGGGTTATTAAAAAGAAAAAAAAAGCAGCTTCTTAAACATTGTAAAACAAGCACATTCACAAAAGGTGCACATTAAAAAAAAGTTGATGCTGAGGTATGTTCTATGTTAGATGGTGTTACCACACACTTGAATCTATACATAATCTCGGAAAGAACAAATGCTTAAATTGTGAACCAGGTCTAACATCTTCAAGAAACTTAATGTAGCAGACGTGATCCATGCTAATTAGTTTGAAAGCATAGGATCGCATTTGATTTAATTAATTTAGGTAGTAAATAAAACTACAATATTAAACTTTCTCTAGTTTTATTATAATTTATCATTATGATTGCTTTGTCCTTCAGACAAAACAAATATTATTTATGTTGCATGTGCGAAAAATATTTGTGTTAGGACAGTTCCAATGTATGAAATGATTTAGTCAAACAATTCAAAACTTCCTTGACATAAATGAACAGTCAGATAACGATAGATATGTGGGATTTAACGTCACAAAACCACCATATGATTATGAGAGAAGTCGTGATGACTGCAACGCCGTTGTTTGCTTCTCACACTGCTTGCACAGAGTTTCTTTCATTTATTGTAAAAAATCATGGTTACTATGCATATTGCACGTAATGTTAGGCGATGACATGTCCAATCATGTTTCTTCATTCTGGGCATTTCTTGTCGTGCGTCATGTCACTATAATTGCAGAAATTGTTCGGTGTGCCCTTCTAGTAAAGAAGGGCACACCTTCTTTACATTTTCGCGAAAACGTCGCTATCGCAGTCACATTTTCGATCATCTTGAGCGACTTCCGTGTTGCGCCGAGCAATTTCACGGTATTGCGCGGCTCTAGTTGCGAATTCTTCTGGTAGGGAATTACTGAACGGAGCTTGTGCGAAAAATGCCGTGTCGAAGACTGAGGATGCAGATCATCCATATACTAGAAAGAAAGGGCTGTAGCAGGTAGATATTTGTGTTGCAGTACTATATGCGAAGGTTTGATTGATATATGGGGTTTAACGTCCCAAAACCACCATATGAGTGACGCCGTAGTGGAGGGCTCCGGAAATTTCGACCACCTGGGGTTCTTTAATGTGCGCCCTTATCTGAGAACACTACGGCATTTTCGCCTCCATCGAAAATGAAGCCGCTGCAGGTGGAATTCAATCCCATGACCAGCGGATCATCAGCTGAGTACCTTAGCCACTAGACCACCGTAGCGGGGCAAATGGACAGTCGGGACTCGCCCTTCAACTTCTAAAGGTATAGTTAAACATAAACAAGCAGCAGTTCATTCAGGACTTCTGTGCAATACTAAATATACATATTAGCAATGCTACATGACACAAAACAACTATGAGTAAGCTTATGTATAACTAACACTTTTCAAGCTTTGATATATACATTAAAAAAAAAACACTATTTCCTGAAATGTCAGTAGATGATACACAAAGACACTTACCTTGAACATTCGATGTAGTTTTAGGACAACATGACAGAAGATAAACCTCAGCATCAACAACCTTAGGAAGTCATCACCATAGAATTGCAAGTATGCGGGATCTATAAGATAGATACAACACAACATTTATTATCAAAAGAAAAAAGGAAGCTAAGAAAAGAAAATGACAACAGGTACAGATAATTTAGGAAATGAAATAGGAGCAGGTACAAAAAAATTTTTGATCTAATGGATCACATTATAGGTCAATCACAATGTGGAACACTAAAGTTCTGTACCAATGGAATAAAAATTAACCTCTGAATAAGCAGATACAATCTATGACATAAATGAATATAACCAACAAATTTTCTGATTCAGACAAATTGTGATAACTATGGCAGAATGCAACTACTATGGAATAAAGTACATGGCAAAATATAAATTGCAGCACACAGGAATCGCTAAAGAAAGCCAATATAAAAGACTGCACACCGATTTCATATGCTCATTTTCAAAGCGGAGCTGCAAGGTTTGGCATATGCTTAATTAAGCAGCCAACACACAAAAAGGTGTTTATATTTACCTAAGCATACCTGCCAAGTTCAAGGATATTGAATCCGGGAGATTTCCGTAGCGGGGGGGGGGGGGGGGGGGGGGGCTGAATATTATTTATTTGCCCCTATTAAACCAAGGACAAACAAATAGACAAAAAAACATTATGAAAAACAAGAGGGGGTGGGGAGTCTTAATTGCAAGCGCAAACAAGGCGTTGCGGTCGGCTTGGAGTGGCCGAACAGACAAAGGTGAGAGTCTCAAAGGATCAACACAACTAGCAGAATTTATTTCCTTCAAAACAGCTCGTGTATGTCTTACTGGAACACACGTGAACGGACGGGACAGCGCAGCTGGCTGCCGCAAAAGCGCGAGTCAAAGCTTTGCTCCCTACTAGATTCTTTTGACAGGAACGCCAAAACGCGTCTGGCCCCTTTGTTATTGACAGTCTAGGCTGGTGTTTTGCCGTCGCCGCCACCGCCGTCATTCACCGTATATGTATACTTATCTGTATATATCAACACTCTAGAAAGGGAAAAAAAAGCCGCCCGCGCTCGGTGCCCAGCTCGTCGCAATACGCGTACTTTGCCCCGCGGATCGGGGGGGGGGTGATTGTGTGCGCGCTCATCTTTCGGTGGGGAGAATCGTGTGCCTTCGGCTTTCACTGGAACGATTGCGTTAGTTGCCGGACCCACAAAGACACCTTCGGTTTATGCACAGGCCCCGTTTGAGAAACTGGGACACTTCTTAGTTTGTACTCATCCGTACCTTTGATTATGTATCGAGCATTGCTTTTTTTTTTGTTTGAACAGCGCGTTACATGTAGAGAAGTAAACGTTGTTGGTTTGCTCTCGTTTTGTGGGTATTCTTTTTGTGTGTCATTTCTGCGTGAGCAGCGCGCTGCGGGTTTCGATCTGCTTGCCGTTATCAGTGTGACATTCCGAGTTGTTGATGTCACATTCATTGTTTCCCCTTCGCGGCGAAACTTTGACTTTTTGTTTTACGCATTTACTGCCTTTAGTCTACCGATGCGTGCCCTCAAGGCTTGTAGATCGCTATCACGCCACCGCGACCACGACGTTGTGCGCGCTGGTTGTGGCAAATGGTAGTTCCTTTTTCAATCCCCGTGCGCTTGATTGCGCACGTGCCTTCGAAACAAAGTCGTTTTATGCCGTATACGATCGCATCTGCCGTGGTTTTGTCCGCAGTGTTTGCAGAAAACAGCGTTGCTTTGACTGGTTGAGTGTTGGACGGACGCAAACTTTTGGGACTCTGTCAGTTTTACATGATCACGTGAAAAGCTACCCTCAGTTTCGTTGACAGCGGTGTGGCAATGACAATCACACACACTGTAGAAGGCAGTGCGTGCGCCGGTTCCAAGCGTACTTCCCAAGCTTTGAGTACGTTGCTCTCGGCCTTCATTCGTCGATTCATTCGTCGAATGAATCGTACCCTCGGCCTTCATTCGTCGAATGAAGGCCGAGAGTACGTTGCTCTCGGCCTTCATTCGTCGAGGAAATGTGTTCGGAACATTAGAATTTAGGCCCAATAGACATAGTGGAATTTCGTTGAGAAATTTTACGAATTCGTATCTGCCGCGGTTTCACATCACTGAGATTCTACTGTACGTTTAGATGAACGCCTCTTAAACTCATTCATAATAAAATGGGGTAGGTTCGAAAAGCTTGGAGCGGACTGAGCTGCTTTTTTGTCAAGGCAGCTGGATCACGAGAGATTTTCCAGGAGATTTTCATGACAACCGTACAAACGGAAGAAACGGTCCAAATCCGGGAGTCTCCCGGCCAAACTGGGTGACTTGGCAGGTCTAAGGAACAATCATTCTGTGAAAACAGGAAATGTGCTATTTTATAATACTGTAAGGTTATTTTGAGTATTGCTATATCAGAAAAGCTTATCCACATCAACAGCAATGTGATTCTTCAAGATTTGTATATTATTAAAGGGGCCCTGCAAGACTTTTTTGAGCATGGTCAGAAAACGCTGCCGATCGGTAGTAGAGGCTCCCGACAACACACGAGCCAAATATTACAGCATAGCACACGCCTCGAATTCACAATAAATTACCAAAGTCAGCTAAAAATTGCTTTCTCTTTTCTCGACAAATGGCGGAATATGCCCAAAAATCCCACCATTGCGATTGGCTGCCATATCAGCCATTGGCTGATTTGAACATGGCGCACTCGCTCATTACAGAGATCGCCACGGGAGGCCGTGACTTTTCCACACGTGCGCGCGCGATCACACTGAAAAAGTGGCACATTCAAAGAAAAAAAAAAGTGCTCAAGGCCACGAGGCGCGCGTGACGTTTTTCTGTGGCCCTGCCATCTTTCCCTGCTTAGCTTCCAACGCTTTGGTCGAGACGAGAGAAGAGAGAATGCAATTGCAGCATGCGACGAACCTTTGTAATTCCACTCGCACTGGACGAATTCTTAAAATTTTTGGGGCGTTGAATTCGTGAGGCAATAAGGTCTTCCAGTGAATTCATCCCATGGCTACTTCAAAAATTGTTGCAGGGCCCCTTTAAGACAGCAAATAATCATAAAAACTGTAGGCAGAGCCTAGCCAATCCAAAATCTTGGCTTTAGTATGCGGCTGTGAACTTCCCACCTATTTTTCTGTTCAAAAGATTATTGCTTAAGCCAGTGCAGTCATGTTTTGAATCTGTATTTTAAAGAGACAGTAAAGAAAAATATTAAATTAAGCTAGATCTGCTGTGTTGACGATTTATTATACAGTCGCCGACCGATTTTTCGGACCTGGCGGGGACCCAAAAAAAGTACGAAAAATCGAACAGTCCGAAAAATTCGTTTTCGCCAAAAATCTGAAGTTTATTGCATCAGGCAGGTTTAAAAAAGTCCTTGATGCTGCCTTGCCTCAAACTACGCTTGGAGGCAATTTGGTTTGCCCGTATTTGCGCCAAGGTGACATCGTCGCCGTAAAGCCGTAAACGCTCGACAAAATTGTCACCGCGTTGGCGATCTCCGCCGCCGACGGCTGCGGGCGGTCGTCGTTGTCATCCGACGACAACGACGACCGTCATCCGGCGACATCTAGCTGCGAACGTCCACTCTCTATTAGCTTGATTGTGGCAGCTTTCTTCTCCATCGTCAGGGTCGTATACTTCCCACGCTTCTTCACACCACCTGGCTCCCGCGATGGCACAGATAGCGGAGCCATGGCACCGAAAACACAAAATTCGGTGCCGCAGATAGCCGCTGCGAAGCACACAACGTCTCGACGCGACGCGACACAACACGTGCAGAATGGCGACTGAACAAAGCTGCAACGACAATAAAAGAATCCTTCTTTCGCCTCCTCCCCGTGCGATGCGATGACGATAGTGCTGACCGAAGACGAAAAAACGGCATCTATCACCGCGTCTTTTAAAAAGCAAACACGGCCTCCGAAACTTAAAATATGGCCTGCGCATTCCAATCTCGGAGGCAGGAAAGGCATTTGAAGACCAAGCTTAGCCAAGCCGACGGAAAATCCAACATGGCAGCGTTCACAATGGCTTGGGGCGTGGCACAAAACGAGCGATTTAGTCCGAAAAATCGAACTTTCAGGGGCAAATTTGCCCGAAAAATCGGTCGAAACAATGCATTAGCTCTATGGGATCCCTGACGGTGCATTTATGAAGTCCGGAATATCCAACAAGTCCGAATTTTTGGAGTCCGAAAAATCGGTCGGCGACTGTAATCACAGTGAGAACAGACCATTGCAAGCAAAAAAGTGAAAAAATGTAAAATTGGAGCGGCACCAGCTGTTGTTGACTGTTAATATCGATCTCGTGTGATGTCACCTTTGACTCACACAAAAAGAGCAGCACAGAGGAACGTCAAATGGAGATTGCTTCAGCTTGTCTATTTTGGCACAGGCAGTTCAAATTGAGAAGCAGCAGAGGCACATTCATTGACAATTTTCAATGCACGAGACGATGAAAAACTTTAAGACAAATGAACCATTTATCTAGGTCAAGTTATTATTTTTCTTTAATGCACCTGTGATGCTGCAGCAGTTACAGCTAATGGCCGCCAGATAGAGCAAAGTTGCCGCCTGGCGGCAACTGCCGAAAGTACGCCTAGTGTGGCTTGCTCCCTGCGTCACCTGCTAGCATGTCGTGTTTGCATGGGCGCATACGTCATGCATGTTCTCAAAGGGTGGTTTGTTCAGTTATGTTAGCTCAAGTTTAACTGCTTGTACATATGCCTGAAACATTGTACGAAAGCATTTGGTCTTCCTCCGCTGTTAATGTACTGTAATATGATCAGAGATTGCAACTTTCCAGAGTGCTGTGTGTGATCTTCGTGCCCTCCATTCACCAGAATCATTTCAGTGTGGTTGCCGCTTTCTGCTTCAAGCACATCATAAAATGAACTTGGCATCGTCTGAAACGTGAAGACTATTAATGGTGTGTGAATGCAGCATTTTAGCGACTCGGTTGTAAACAAAACCTACGCTATAGGCCACACACTATCGCATTGTTAATAGGTGTATAACTACGGCACTGTAGTTTGTGGATTATGCAATGAGGTTTAGTTGTGTTTATCTGGCCGTGGTATCGCTACAGAGAAATATTATTATCCAGTAAAGTGTGACACTTCGGTACTTAAACTGAACTTAGAACGGAGTTGTCATGAGCAATTTTAACTTGGGGTGAAATTTATGCACACATGTGCCGAGATTTATTAACACTTCAAAGAAACCAGATGTTCAAAATTTAGATGGCATGGCTTACATTTATGTTGCACAATTTCACGGAAAATCTACTGTTTTTACATTGTCTTGAGCATTTTTCTGACATTGTTATTGACTGCCAAAAAGCAGAGGTTATTCTTCATTCGATAAAAAAAGATGCTTGTTCCACAAAATAACCAGACCTTCGTTGTATCACAATTATGCATGTATTCCATCGATGAAAGCTTACTGCTGAGCTCTCACAAGCTTTTTTTGGTGCAAGAACATGTGCGTACCTGGTAAACATCAAGGTAGCGCAAAGCGTTGTCAGCACTAAGCTTTCCTGACTGAACTTATTGACTGTCCCACATTTCATGGTGAACAGAATGAGAAAGAGAATGCATATGTGTAGTATTCAAGCGAATAGCAGTACTGAACTCATCGCACCGATATGCAGGTTTTCTACGGTCTCTCTTTATTATTTTTTTTGTATCCAGATGAGCAAGAAGTAAATAAGTAGTTCAGTCATGCTACTGCACTGCATAGTAGGTGGAACACATGCTAAGCACATACAAGCAACACAGCAAAAGCGTGAGTTAGTGTAAAAGCGCGCAAACAGTCACCCAGGGCGAGCATCTCTTTCATACAGCGCAGAATGCGCTTCACTCGCTAGTAATAATAATGTTGCATGGGTTTAGTGCATCTATTCGGCAGAGAAGCATAGATATTACCAGTAAACTGCAGTCAACACATACAATTCGCCAGCAATCGACTCAAACTGCACACAGCGAAATGCCACTGCGTGTATTTGTATACGCGCCACCGACTGCCTATCTACACTACCGCGGGAACGGTGCTGCCACCTGTAGCCCAATCTTGCCGCGAATAACAGGCCATGGCTTTATTTCAAGTCCATGTACATACTCAGGAGAAGCATGCTAAAAGGCAGCCCTAACTAATGACACATTCAGTATTTGCACCTTTATCACAACTTTAAACACCTGTGCCAGTGCAGCTAATATTCAACAGTAACAAAACACCACTCATATGAAGTGAATGAAAGAGTGGTGTTGTTCAAATTTTACTACGAGGCATCACTTACGACTCACCCTCCCCACCCTCAACCAAGTTACTCAATGTGGATTACATTTTGGCATTCCCAAATACACTCAAACCTCGTTATATTGAAGTTGAAGGGGAGCCACAATTATTTCGTTATATCCATTATTTTGTTATATCGATTATAACAGTTTGTGGCAATGTATGCTCAGATGGGCACACACCTATAAGCATGCAAAGAAGGAAACTGCCTCGTGGCCTGATGTGCTGCTACGCGACCACGCGTGCCACGAAAAATAAACTCAGTCGAATCTCATTGATTCGAACTTTCGGGTAATTCGAACTCACGATGAGGTCCCGTCAAAGCTATGTGTATTCCAATGGACGAGAAGACCCTGTAATTCATACGCGCTAGCACTTGCGACGGTTAATTTGAACAAACCGCGCTTCGAAAATGCTCTCAGTGCCATGCCCGATCCCGCGGCAGCACCTCTTAATGCTGCGCGCAAAGAAGAAAAAGAAAAGGAAAGAAAAAATAGTGGTGGAGTGTTTGCTCTCTCTCAAATGCCGATCTGCGACGCGCCTGTGCCACGTTTCTCCCTTTTGCATCTTTGCATGTAGAGACCTTTCTCCTTTCGAGGCCATGCGCGGAGAGAGAGGAAAAAAAAAAAAAAAAAAAAGCTGTCGCAGAGGGTCCTCCTTTCTCGGTGCAGAGGGTAGCAGTCATGATAGCAGCGGAGACGCAGTCGTTGCTGTTGTGAGGGCCGTTCCACGCGCTTCCCGCACAGCTGCAACGCACATGCTGGGAACCCTACCGCATGCAAGCGGGGGACAAATAAGCCAATCGGCGACGCTGCGCAGGATGAAAGAGCGTCGCCAATTGGCTTATCTGTCTCCCGCTTGCGTGCAGTAGGGGTCCTGGCATGTGCGTTGCGGCTGTGTGGGAAGCGCGTGGAACGGTCCTGAGATCGAAATCGCTTTTCAACGCAGCGCCGCTTCTCGGTCATGTGACCTGCTGAGCGCTTTCTCAATCCTCTCCGCTGGGTGTGAGGAGGACGGCTCTCTCGGCCGCGCGGGTTATGGTTATAAGGTCGGCGCGGGAACTTTGAAAGAGCCGTGTCGAACAAGCGTCAAACTTTGCAGAAAACGATGTACGTAACACAATTCGGTCAATGTTTTTTTATAGACTATTTGATAGACTAATTTAGTTCGTTATATCTATTTACCGGTCAATTTTACTTCATTACAACGAGGTTTAAAATGCATGGTTCTCAATGGAAACTTTCAAGGAGAATTTCATTTACTTTGTTATATACATTATTTCGTTATATCCCGTTACATTATAACGAGGTTTGCGTGTACTGCGTCAGTTTATTCTAAACGCGTACCGTAAATTATCTGGGCGGATTATACCCCCCCCCCCCCACTATGGTGAAAGATAATCCACCCTAATTTGGGGGGGCGGGGCACTTGCGTGATCCCGAACCAGTAATTGGCACTTATTTAAAATCTCTCAAAAAAGGAAGGAGAGCACTTGCTCGGGTGAGGTGCTTGCTCGTGCACTTTATGGTAGTATGTTACTACAGTTAACCTTGCATGAATAAGCTTCAAGTTTTAGTGACAAGAACAACTTATTTCTGAGCCTCCTTTAACAGCAGCTGTCTTGCATTCATTGCCCCCCTATCCACAGGATTTCAGGGTTAAAATGAAAAAAATTTCAGCACAGAACAGTGAAAATATATTTCTGGAAAACCTGAATGTTTTTTTTCTGTGGCATTCTGCGAAAATTCGGGCATAAACAACATAAACAGTTTTTATTTTTAGAGAACCTTCCTCCACAATCCGACATACCACAGCACTGATTTGATTGATTTGTGGGGTTTAACGACCCAAAACCACCATATGATTATGAGAGACGCCGTAGTGGAGGGCTCCGGAAATTTTGACCACCTGTAGTTCTTTAACGTGCACCCAAATCTGAGTACACACTACAACATTTCCGCCTCCATCGGAAATGCAATACTACAGCACTGATTTACCCTATTTCGTGTCCCTGTACTTGGTGTGATTGATTAATGCTCTGTTGCACTGCAGACTGCTAGATTTCTGGTTCGCTCATATGGCTAAGTGACTACCATAGATAGTATTTAATCCTGGGTTTCATGTCTAAACCAGCAAGGCAAAGTTTCATTCTGCTGTAAAGGTTTCTAAAATATCCGTCCGTATCAGTAGCTTTGTGCCACACTTGCATGGATGGAAAAAACTTTTCCTTTCATAAACCTTTCTCCGTCGTGCGAGATTTCTCAAAACTGTTTTACAAAACAAATATGGAAGAAGGCAGGCTCATGAGCAAGCAATAAGCATTATATCAATGCATATGTGCAGCATCTGCCTGCACGTTTTAAAAAATAATATTGCCTCAGCGAGGTGGCTCCGCTAAGTAAGTCTCTACACTACTGCATCTACAGTGAATATGTTTTTGTTTGTTTTCCCTGAAACCTACAGGTATAGAAGTTATGAATAAGAACACACCTATGCTGCGGGAGCGTATGAGGACGCGGCTGGCCTCTGCCATAAAGCGGTTAAGATGACCCAGGGCCTTGTCCCAAAGGGAGACTGGCACATCGACTACATGGCACACGAAACACAGGGCTGTCAAAGGACTGTGCAGGAACAGTGTCAGCAAGTTGCCCTTGTGCTGTTGGTCTGCATAAAAAGACAAAGCAAAGCACAGCACAGAATGACTCTCGTCATCAAAGACCAGAATCCATAGCAAATGATAGCAACAAGAGATGGGTGGAGGGAAGGGGAGAGCAGAAATGTGAGCAAACAAGAGGAACATGAACAAGCTTTGTTTTCAGATATTGAGCGATACCTTTTTTTCTCTCTCAATGTTTATTCTCCCTTTCCATATCAAATCTGTGACATAATAACTAAAGATGTGCAAATATTTGAAATTTCGAATATTTTTTCTATTCAATTTGCACTGAAATTTGACTATTCGAAACTATTCAAACTTCCCGAAGACAAATGCAGGCGTCTAACAGTAGTCTTACTGTTAGACGCCACGCCGAGATGAGGCAACCGATCAATGGGCCTAACAGCAGCGAGACAGCAGCCAGCTGTTTCAGCAGCAGCTGCAGCAGCACGAGCCTCCGCCACAACAAACGTCTTCTTCGTCGTTTTTAGAGTAGAGCCCGCATTTGTCACTACAATGACTCCCCGGTGCAAAATGAGCCATTCTGGCAACCTATGACACAGACAGGAATGGTGGGTCGTAGTGAAGTTTTAGACGGTCGACGTGCACAGTTTCGCGCCCGCGGGGCCGTTGACCTGTTGTAGGTGGCTGAATAAGTTCAACCATGTAGTTGACTGGCGATGTCTGGCGCAGGATCCGGTGCGGACTGTCATACTTGGGTATGAACTTTGAGCAAAGGCCTGGGGCAGATGATGGTACGCGGAGCCACATGATTGTTCCAGGCGCGTATGACGAAGAGGATGAGCGTCGGTCATGGGAGTGCTTCTGGGGAGCCTGATCGTGCGGCGTAAGCGAACGTGTGAGCTGCCGACATTCTTCAGCATATGGGTGGCTTCTGCCAAAGTCGTCGATTCTGAAGGGTCTGGGCGATACAGAAGGATGGTGTCCAAGAACGATGAAGGTTCCCGACCATAAAGAAGTAAGAACGGGGAGAACCCAGTTTTAAATTGAATTGCGCTGTTCTAAGCGTAAGTAAGTAACGAATGGCAGTATGTGATCCCAGTTCGTATGGTCATCAGAAACATACATAGAGAGCATGTCACCCAGCGTGCGATTAAATCGCTCGGTCATCCCATTGGTTTGGAGGTGATATGCGGTGGCTGTTCGATGCACGATGTTGCATTTGCGTAGGAGGGCTTCTACAGCTTCCGACAAGAAGGAACGCCCACAGTCACTGAGAAACTCGCGGGGTCCACCATGCCAAAGGACGAGGTTGTGTAGAATGAACAAGCCGACTTCACGCGCAGTGGCCTCGGTAAGCACCGAAGTTTCGACGTAGCGCGTAAGGTGGTCCACGGCTACGATGACCCAGCGGTTTCCATTTGGTGTGTATGATAGGGGACCGTACAAGTCGATTCTGATGCGGCCAAAAGGCCGAGAATAACAAGGCAGTGGCTGGAGTGGCCCCGTGGTTGTGCGAGGGAAGCTCTTCTGGCGTTGGCACAAGGATCTTGAAAGGACGTACTGCCTAACAAAGCGGTACACTCCGTGCCAGTAATATCGAATTTGTAGGCGAGCGTACGACTTCACTACACCTGCGTGGGCGCATTGCGGATCCACGTGGAAGGAGGCACACAGGTCAGAACCGTAGGTGGCGAGAGATTACCAGCAACTATTTGCGGTCATCAGACAGGTAGTTTCGTTAGTACAGAAGACCGTCACGGATGGTAAAATGGCGAGCAGTTCGTCAAAGTAAACGGTCGTCGGTACGTGGAGACGTCTGAGACAGGTTCTCCAAGAGAGACGCTATCCATGGATCCTGGCGTTGCTCAGCGGACATGTCGGCATGTTAAAGTGAAGAACATTCGCAGCTGCAAACAGACGCTGTAACGTAATCGTGGGGAAGTGGCGAGCAAGAAGAGCGTCGGTGTCCGTATGCTTGCGGTCTGACCGATAAATTACAGGAGTGTCGTAACCTTGGAGGCGTAGTGCCCAGCGAGCTAGGCGACCAGATGGGTCTTTTATTGACGACAACGAACACGATGTGTGGTGATCAGTCACGACGTCAAATGGGCGGCCATATACGTAAGGTCAGAATTTCATGATTGCCCAAACAATGGCAAGGCATTCTTTCTTGGTGGCTGAATACTTCTTTTTTGCTTTAGTGAGAGGTACTGGGATCGATACCCAGCACCTCCACCAAATGTACGAATACTGTTAGACGCCACACCAGGGTGAGGCAACCATCTAATGGGCCTAACAGCAGCGAAACAGCAGCCAGCGGTTTCAGCAGCAGCTTCAGCAGCACGAGCCTCTGCCACAACAAACGCCTTCTTTGTGGTTCCTATAGCAGAGCCCGTATTTGTCACTACACTTACAATAATTGCAGCCTCTCACATATGCTCTCAACTTTTGTGGGACCACTGCATTCGAACGTCTATCATATAAGGTCCACGGCTTTCCCCACGGGACAAAGTTGTAAATTTTTGTGTTTTCTTTAGTTGTATTGCTGTTAATTGTGTCGTTTAACCACTAGACTTTCAATTTCAGCATAGTTTGCCGATTTTCCGATAGGCGGTGATACCTGAGAAAAAGATTTGTGGGTAGTGGTGGCAGTAAACGTAGCGAACCATGGCATCAGGCTCGCGTAAGGCAGCGCGAAGAAACCGACATGCATCACCTGATTTCACTGCTTCGACAATAGTTTTGTTTTGCGATGAGTCGAGCAGCAAAGAGTCCAAAGATTACTTTGACGGTTCGGCTTTTGTTTAAGAGAGCGATTTGGATCAACCTGGGACTTCAGCCAGTACTCGTAGGTGAGTAGTTTCACAATCTATTTCTTGCAAGTAGCCAAGTTTGTTCACATTAGTTTATTTGAGTTTTATAGAGCCTCAAAAAACTTAACATCAGCTTCTCAATCTTGACAATTTCAGACCAGAGTGCACTGCTTCACCTCCTCCACACCATCTGTGAGGCATGCATTCCACAAGCGAGAAAAAGCAGAGAGGTGCAAGAATGCCAAGCTCTGTTGTGAGAATAAGAAAAGTGATCTGATAACAAATGTTTTTTACAAATGTTTTTTACTACTGCGTGGAACTGTTTTGTTGAGTGGCACAAGCACCACTGGGCATGAATACAGCACTTTTTTAAGCACGCTAAAAAAGTATTGCAGATATGAGTACCAAACTTTTTCCAATATAAAAAAAGAGAGAATGAGCTATACTAAATTTTTTTAAACTGTAGAATTTTGTATCAAGTATTCTTGTTGAAACCAACTTTTTTTTAGGTTTCTTCAACAAGTCTTCCAAAGGACAGTCTTATTATTACTATGTAAAACCTTCAATTTGTACGAAAAGCCATTACATCAGCTTCATTTTGATGTAACTGAAATATATCACCAAGGCTTGATTTATTAATAAGAAACATTTTCCGATTGCCTCGTTTTTACATGGCCCCACAAGAGTTCATTCAAAGAGCATTCTGTTTATTACCTATTAGCTTCAATATTCAGCCTATATGTCTACATCAGCATTTACAAGGCATCTGTTGTATCGATGGCAAGGACAAGGCTGTGACAAATGTAGCGTCTTGCCTGTAGGTCAGTTCAACTGCCACTGATAGATCCCGCATGCATTTTGCACACATAACTATCATTAAGCACAATGAGCTCTAGAATATTGCCATACCGCTTGTGATCAATATAGTTATCATGCCTTGCAGTTCAGCAGACTCCCGTTAAGATGAATTTCAGGGGTGGAAGCGGGCTTCAGCCTTTTAGAGCAGCTTTGTGAGCTGCTCTAAAATGAATAATGCATGCAGTTTTGGAGCAGGAACCCGAGAGTTTTGGAGCAGCTCAGGAGCACCAAAAGGCGCGTTTTGGAGCATCAAAATTCAGTTTCGGAGCAAATTTCTTGGGTCACAGGTCCCTGTTAATTACAACTTTTCGCTTTCTGGTAAATACAAAAAATGTCAGTAGTATTTACTAAGCATGCAATGCTGATCAAGCAACCAAACCTACACTAAACTGATACATACTAAACCTTAACACATCAAAGCTGAAAGCACAGCACATCAAAAAAAAAAAAAAAACATAAGCGGTGCTCTGGATAGCTACTACACATCCGACGAATTAAAAATTTAATGTTAAAATGTTGCAATGTTCAAAATTTGATTAAAACACGGCATCCAACATGAACAGCAACTCAAAACTAGAGATGAGCCAATATAATAAAAGTTATCTTCATACTAAACCATAAGGCTCAATAAAAACCAATGTAAAAAAACTTGTGTTCCGGTTATTAAAGTTCCACAGCCGACATGAGAACAGTGAGAAAATTTAGATCAGCTCGCCGCGCTATCGCTATGCAATGAAGTGAAAAATTTTTCATTGATGAATATTCGACAGGTTTTCGCCGGCGCCACCATGTTCAGCGTAGACTACCAAGTTTATAACATTCCCCACGCATCGTTCGTTCTACCCGAGCGTAAAATCGCACAAGCTGGGATGATGAGGGCTGTTCAAGCAGATATTGAATGAGGCAGGTGATCTCTGCTGCTCGTAGGATGCACGTGATATCAACCATCGCGTGTTAGATGTGTTCTGGAATGCTCAAGTAGAAAGGAAACACGCCGCCCCCCTTGACCGAGCATATATATACGTGGGGGAAAGCAAGAGGTCGCTTGAGCAGAAGTGGTGAAGTTTTATTCTAAGGACGTGGTTGCCATAGCTGTTGCACACGCTATCGGCAAGCATCATCACACGGCTCGTAAACCGTTTTACATGGTGTGTGCTCAATGAAAAGAGATTCTGCGATAAGAGCACTTCTCCCTGGAGCGGCCATACTCTTACACCAGCGTTTTGTAGAGTGTCACGATGTCAGATCCAAAACAGTTCACTGTCAGCCTTCGTACTGTCACGAGGCTGAGATGTTAACGAAGGCAGCAACCGCTGTTTTCATGAGTGAACTTTTTGTTTGGGCAAATCTGTGCCTGGAAACCGAAATGTCAC